TGTAATACTAAAGGGTAGCTCAGAAGCTTTGTTGAGGGGGCTGAACTCTGTGTCCCTTTGAGGAAATGAAAAGGACTCATGCATCAGCTACTGTCAATGTCTCATTAAGTGGGCCAAGTTAAAATGAAAGGGCTAACCTTAGTTTAGGAAGAGGTCCTTTGAATTGTAGGTAGGTACCACTCCTGGCCTGTTTTGGTTCTCTGATGTTCCGTGGATGAAGAGTCATTGTATCATCCACCTCCAGATGGAAGAGACCCCCAGATGCCATCTAGTCCAGCCATGTCATTTTACAAATGAGGAAACCAAGGCAGGCTATGATTAAGTAACTTCCTCAGAGAGGTAGTAAACATCAGAGAGGGAGACAGAACCCAAGTCCTCTGATGCCAGAAGCAATGTTCTTTCTACTGTCTATTTTGTTCTTCATTTGTTTTTTCAGTCGTGTCCAACTCTTCATGACCCCATTCGGGTTTTTTTTGGCAAAGATACTGGAGTGATTTGACATTTCCTTCTCTAGCTCATTTTATAGATGAGGAAACTGAGGCAAACAGGGTTAAGTGACTTGCCCAGGGTGAAACAACTAGTAAATGTCTGAGGCCAGACTTGAACTCAGGAAGATGAGTTTTCCTGACTCCAGACCTGGCACTCTAGCCCCTGTACCACCTAGCTGCCCTTACTCTACTATGCTGACTCTGTTTTTCACCTTTCACTTATGAATAATAGCAACAACAACAACAACAACAACAATGGTAGCATTTGTTTTAAGGTCTGCAAAAATACCATACAAATATTATTTTATCCTAACAACAACTCTGGAAAGAAGGTGCTAATAGTATCCCCATTTTACAGACGAGGAAACTGAGACAGATAGAGGTTAAATAGCTAGTAAATGTCTGAGGATGAACTTGAACTCAGGTCATTCTGACTCCATGTCCAGTCACTGCACCATCAGCTACCTCTATCAGAATGAAGGAGAAGTAAGGGAAAGGGTTCTCTCTCTTTTCTCCATATTCTCCTGAATTGAGATCAGCCTTCTTCAATCTTATTCTCAGAAGATGTATCTTAGACAATGCGCTGACAGCGTGAGACAAGATATGCCTTACTCAGACTCCTGAATGTGGTTTTAGGATTCTCTTAGTGACATGATGCTAGTATCAGATGAGGACTAGTTTGGATTGGCAAAAGGACTCCTTCTGGGGGACTTGTACCTTAGGATTTAGCGCTTTACTGCCCCCTACTTCTCCCTCAACCCTCCAGCACTCCACTTCCTCTCCCTGGAACCCCATGTTGGAAAAGATTCCAAACAGATGAGAACAATGAAAAGCGAAAAGAGAAACAAGATCATTTCCCAAATTTTGCATGTATGAAAAGAGTCCCAAGTCCTAACAACGAACCAATGTTAATTTGGCAGCACTGATATCACTCCCATGATCTCAAGTCCAAATGCCCTTGTTTTAGGGGAGGGGAGAGTGGTAACAACCCCAGCTCCCACACAAACTCTGGGTAGAGCTTGGAAATGAGCACTCAGATACACTTTGAGACACTGAACATATGTCATTGCTACTAAAAACAAAACAAAACAAAACACTGAATGAGTAAAGTCAGGGAATTATAGAAGTGCTAAATCACTTCTATAGCCTCATCTGGAGCCATAACTCAACCCTCTATCCACTTTCCAGGCAGACGTCGGGAAGGAAAACATTTGGATGGCCACACTACATGAAACAATCATCTTTCAGCGTTTAAGTCATTTTTATACGGTCTCTGAGTCAAGATTAAATGGTCTCTTCCTCATCCTGTCCCTGCTCCTTCCATCATCACCACAAATCTGGTTGCTTGGCCCTCACCCAGTCCCATGCTTTCTGGAAGTGATTAGTAGGTGAATATTACTGTAATTACTCACCTAAAAAGCAAATTAAAGAGACAGTAGGGAACACATGTAAAACACTTTGCCTACCATAAAGGGCCATTAAAATGTCATCTATTGTCATCATTTGAGAGGTTACATGGTGTACTGGATACAGAGAAAGGGTGGGAGTTAGGAAGACCCGGATTCAGATCTGCTATCTGACATACACAAGCTGGACAAGTCAGTTAACCTATCAGACACAGGACAGGTGCTAATCTGTCCTGGTAGAAGGAGATTGATCACTGGGAGTTCTCCATACCACAGGGATGTTCCACAGGTATGCATGCTACATGTGCCCAGGTCCATCCTGATGTTTCCAGGAGAAAAAAAAAAGTGCTAGTATGCCTCTTTTTTGAAATTGCACTTCTTTCAGTGAAGTTTGGTTGTTCATTAAAAAAAATTAGTTTAGTTACATTTTATTCTCTTCATTTTGTTTGATGAATAAAACTGATATGCTTCATGACTGAGTATTCCATAGATGTTTATCTTGCACCACCTACAAACTGTGATGTTTTTAAGATCACAGTATTCTGTGACACATAGGCACACAGTAGCCCTGTTAGAAGACAGGTGAGAAAATGATTGGGGGGAATCTTGTGGCAGTGAACAGTTTGAGGTCCCTGCTGTGGCTATATAATGTCCCAAACACCATGTGATCCACTCTTTTTTTCTTTATTTTTGGCAAGGCAATTGGGGTTAAGTGACCTGCCCAGGGTCACACAGCTAGTTAAGTGTTATATGTCTGAGGCTGGATTTGAACTCGGGTCCTCCTGATTCCAGAGCCGGTGGTCGGTGCTCTATCCACTGTGCCACCCCCATATATGGTCCACTCTTGACCTCCCACTGGGTCCAATACAACGTCCACCAGAAATATCTGTCTGAGGAACATATGCTGATATAGTAAAACTTGATGAGCTGTCCATTCAACTGTATGTCATAACTAGAGAAGTATCTGGTTTTTCCATTCCTTTTTTTTTTTTAAACTACTTTAAATTGCTGTAAAGTTCACTAAGGAAAGCCTAGGGAGTTATAGGAATCTAATTGGCCAGACTGACTGCTAGGCAATTAATATTTTAACCTTGGAGAAGGGAAGGAAGAGAAAGGAATAAGCATTTATTAAATGCCTACTATGCACCAGGCACTGTGCTGAGAGCTTTACAAATATCTTTGATCCTCACAACACTCCTAGGAGATAGTAACAATAACAGTAGTAATGACAACAACATTTATCTAACCTATGTACCAGGCACTATGCTAAGTGCTTTAGAATTATTATCTCATTTGATCCGCACAGCAACCCTAGGCAGTAAGTGTTATTATTATCCCCATTTGACAGTTGAAGAAACTGAGGCAGACTGAGATTAAGTGACTTGCCTAGAGGTCATAGCTTGTCATTAATCACTTGTATCCTGGGCCAAGTGGAGAGTCTTACACACAAAGGAGAAGAAGCAAGCCCATCCCAAGAAAACAGAGGTCATAGCTAGTAAGTATCTGAGTCTGTCAAGGACTCCACTATGCCACCTAGCTTATCTCTTTCCTGATTTTGAATTCATTAAACTTCAAAAGTTCCTTATTCCCCCTAAAAACAAAAAAGTAGGGATACTGTCAACCACATCATTATTATCCAGGAGCCAGAAAAGTTGAAGAGGATAGTGGGACCTCTTATGCCTCTTTTATTTTACCCAGCCATGTGATTTGATTGGGATAGGGAACTCCCAATAAGAATCCTCTACCCCCAGCAATGCATCTACAATTCACAGTTTTAGGGCATTATCAGGGGCACTGAGATCTTCAGTGACTTACCCAGAAAGTGTGTCAAAGGACAGACTTGAACTCAGGTCTTCCTGACTCAGAGACTAATTCTCTACTGTTACTATGTGCTATTCTAGGTCCTGCAGACATAAAGATAATTGTTCTCAATGAGTTTATAATATTAGTGAGATTATCTATCTGCAACCAGAGTTCAAGTTAAGCCTGTCTTCTGATTCAACACTCTATCCATGACACCATGATGCCCCTCATTTGTTGTTGTTGTTGTTGTTGTTGTTCAGTTGTTTCCAACTCTTTGTGGTTTTCCAACCCATTAAGGGTTTTCTTGGCAAAGATACTGGAATGGTTTGCCATTTCTTTCTCCAGCTCATTTTACAGATGAAGAAACTGAGGCAAACAGGGTTAAGTGACTTGCCCAGGGGCACACAGTGAGTTAAGTGTCTGCGGCCAGATTTGAACTCATGAAGATGAGTCTTCTTGAATCCAGGCCCAGTACTCTATCACTGTGCCATCTAGCTGCCCTGATGCTCCACTTACCATGCTGCTGTCATCATCATCATCATCATCATCATCACTGTCATCATCATTATCACTGTCATTGTCATCATCATCATCATCACATCTAGCATATATAGCACTTTAAGGTTCATAAAGCTCTTGCTAATATGTTTTACCACAGGTTTATCATGAAAAGCAAAATGAGAAATCACCCACATAACCTCTTTAATTTCTTCCCAATTGACCACTAATGGACGTCACATACCCTAAACACAAGGTACCCACCTTCTTTTCACATTAACCTAATAGCAACCCCTTAACAATGTGACAGGACAGCTAGGTGGTGCAGTGGGATAGAGTGCCAGGCCTGGAGTCAGGAAGACCTGAGTTCAAATCTGGCCATAGACACTTACTACCTGTGTGACCCTGGGCAAATCATTCAACCCCGTCTGCTTCAGTTTCCTCATCTGTAAAATAAGCCAGAGAAGGAAATGGCAAACTACTCCAATATCTTTGCCAAGAGAACCCCAAATGGGTTAACAAAGAGTTAGACATAACTGAAATGACTGAACAACAACAAAAAGCAACCTGACAGTCACACCATCACTGAGTTCAGGAGTATAAAGATAGTCACCAACTGAGTAGATAAAATCACCAGCTTTTGCTAGGCGCCTGGAAGGCCTTGAAGTAAATAATAACCATAAAATAATTAACTGGCAGACAACATTATTAACAGCAGTTTAAAAAAATAAAAGAAAGAAAAAATGCCCTTTCCCTCATTCCCTCAGAAAACAATGAGAGGAGATGGAAAAAAGTGGGAACCTACCAGCATAGTGGTAATTTGCTAAAGGATGACATTTAAATCTGATAGGTTTCTTCAGCAGGAGCATTTCCAAAGCAGCCTACAGACCCATGGGAAAGAAAAGAAGAAGCATTAATCACTTGTATCCTGGGCCAAGTGGAGAGTCTTACACCCAAAGGAGAAGAACATCAGGGGAGGTGGGGAGAAGGAAGGAGACAGAAGACGAAGGATGAGATTTCCTTTCATTATGCCACCCACATCAACACCTAGGACCATCCTGAGATGGTCTTTCACTAAGAGGAAAACCAGGGACAGCGATGGTTCTGCCAAATGGGCTGGGAAGCCTGGCAGAAGTAGGGAAGAGCATCTTGCCAACGAGAGCATAGTGAAGTTTCAAGATGCTCCAAGGAAAGAAGAGATCGATTGTGTACTTTAATATACCTATCATATTGCAGAGTGAAGAGGGTAATGCCAGGAGAACATTTTGTACAATAACAACACTGTAAAGACTTGAGAATTCTAACCAATGACATGGCCAAACTTTACTTCAGAGGAACAAGGATGATGTGTGCTACCCACTTCACGCAGAGAAGTAACAAACTCAAGATGCAAAATGAGACATATTTTGTGGATATGGCCATGTGGGAATTTGTTTTGCTTGACTGCTGCAAGGGTTTTTTTAAATCTTTTTCTTTTTTTTTTTTAATGAGGTGGAGGGGGAGGTAGAAGAGGGAGAAAATGTTTTTGTTAACAGAAAAAAATTTTTAAATAACTATCATATATCTCACACCTCTGAAATATATTGGCTATATGGCTCTGGGCAAGTCACCTTAGGTCTCAGTCCTACAGGCAACTCTCTAAGGCTTATCTAAGTTAAAGAATAGTTATCAATTAATATAAAGGAGATGACACCCTGCATTGCTGAAGGAAGTTCCCCATTAATGAAATCACAGGCACAGTCCCCTATCCTAGCCTGTTTTATACAATAGATCATAATTGACAGCATTGGTAATATTGGGCATACAGCATACTTCCTTGTAACGTTGCCAGTTCAAAGCCTTTTAAATCTATGACCTCATTTATCCTCAGCAATCTTTGATATGAAATAACAATAATGCTACTAGTTGAAAATTAAAGAACATTAACAGTGTTAAGAGACACTCAGAGTGATAACAGTGAGCAGAGCTGGCTTTGGGGCCAGGAGATTTCTTTTCAAGTCAGTGGAAGTCGTGGGCAAAGCAGCTTCTAACACTGATGAAATCATATGCCCACACCCCACCCCACCCTCTCATCCACCTAATACCACCAAATAAAAAAAGCATGAAGACACACTGTCACTCTCTCTTCACTATGGCTCCAATTAACCCTTCAGGCAGGCACTGGGTTCTGAACCCTTTGACAAATTATCACAAAAATTATGAGCATCTCCAGCTGGGCTTGCCAAGCTGAAAATACTCAGAGATCATACTCATTGCCAAACCCTGGTTGTGCTCCAAGAATAAGCCCAGTCAAGTCTGAAGAGGATACCCCTCTAAATGAGAACTATTTGGAGACCATTAACTTGACTCAGTGTATGATCTGCATTGCTAAAATGAGTGGCCATATGGATAAAGTTACTATATTATGAGATAGTTCGGGACTGATCATTATGACCCTCATTTTCTTTCTTTTTTTAAAGTATTTTTCTTTATTTTGTTAAATATTTTCCAATCACATTAAAAAAATTTTATCATTAATTTTTTAAAATTTTGAGCTCCAAATTCTCTCCCTACATCCCATACTTCTCCCACCCCTTGAAGAAGTCAAGCAATATGATATCAATTACTCATGTGAATCACGCAAAACCTATTTCCATATTAGCCATGTTGCAAAAGAAAATACACACACACACAAACAAGAAAATAAAGAAAATGAAAAACAATATGCTTCAATCTGCACTCAGAGTTCATCAGTTCTCTCTCTGGAGATGGATAGCATTTTTCATCACAACTCCTTTGGAATTATATGACCCTCATTTTCATATTCATAGAACTGGAGGGCCAGAAATGAAGTTAGGACCACCTAACCCATCCACCCCTGCCCCATGTACAATATGAACAGTATACTGAGGGAAATCTGAGGCCCAAAGACATTCAGTGACTTGACTGAGTTAGTGGTAAGACTTGAAATCCAAGTGTCCAACTCTCAGTTCAATCTACTACTCAGTGGGTTAAAATACCTCCCCTATTTGACAAGGGGGGCATTAGGGAATATTTTGGTGGTATCCAAGGGGGTACACAGGCAAAGAAAGGGACACAAACCATCAGAGTGAATGTGAAATATTTACCTACAGAGCTGCAGACATTTGAACAAAGACCAAACTTTGGCTGAAGTCTTAGGAAGGTCACAGACTGTCTTGGCTACTATATAACACACCCATTTTGGGGGAACTAATTATTTAAGTAAGTCCTTCAGCTTCTATTAGTGGCACCCTGGCTCCCTAAGGTGAAATTCAAGCCATAAAATGCAGACACCCTCATTTCCCAAGGGACAAGTGTTGACAATTAACCTTGGGAATCCAAAGTATAAACAGAAGCACAATTCATTCATTCTCTACCTACTCTTCAGCACTCACTGCATTTACTGAAACAGAAATGTCAGGCTTCTGATATCAGTATTAATCACTCAAACAGGAGAGAGAGAGAGAGTGTGTGTGTGTGTGTGTGTCCGTGTGTGTCTGTGTTTCAACAGCCAGCACTATAAGTTCAGAAAATGCTTTTTTTTTTTCCCCTAGCAATGTTAATCATAAAGCTTCCTATACTTACCATAATATCACCTTTGGCCTCAAAGAGAGAGTGCAAGGCAAATTCAGAATTTGTCCCTCCCCCTGGCAACGCACTTGAACAACACAAATTCAGTAGATTTTCCACTGTAAGAAAGAAGAGGCATCAGAGACCTGTCAGAAAACTAGGGATTAACTAGACTGACTGGGCATCTGTGGACCATGTGAAGGTCCCAGGAAAAGGGACAGAAATTGAATGGGGGACTTGAGCATTTCCTAACCAATCTTTTCCACATTCCAATACCTCTCTTCTGGAACTCTTGGTTTTCCAGCTCTGGCCAGGGCTTCCATACCAGTGTGGCCTTGTGTGTGTCCTTGCTCAGGGAAGACACATCCTGGAGTTCAGGGATCTCTGCTTGGAATCTCACACCAATGTTGATGCGTCTTTAAGGACAAGAAGAAAAACAGCAATGTAGTGTCCGGTTATGATAGGCCTACAAAAGGCAGCTTGTCAGAAACTAAGGAAGTAAAACATTGTTCCTTGTGCTGAAAGAACTCAGGAGGCATTTCCTTATAGTGTGGACCCTCTCCTCCCCTACCCCACCTCTAATTTCAGGCATGCCACATGCCCTGGGACAAGAGAATAGCCTTTCCTAGTGAGGAGAGATGAAAGTTTCAAATGGGGTTCCACTTAAGGCAGTAAGGGGAGTCCTGACTAATTCAGAGCAACTTGGAACATCTTAAAATTGAAAAGAACTAAGAAGAAGCTATGACTGGCACTTTTAAGAGTAAAAAGCAGGGGAGAAGGACATAAGATGGGCTCAATATCATTTCATATGGAGAAATAGGGAATATTAAGGCATAGAATCTTAAAGCCAGAGGAACTTTAGGTGTTATGGGGTCTAGCTCATTCCTTAAGCAAGTCCTATCCTACACAACATTGTTAAGAAGTAGTCCTCTCCATGCCCCAACAGTCTTCCCAACCTAGAAAGTGGCCTCATCCTTTTGGTGAGCAGGTCTTAGAACCCCTAGTGATTTTGAGGAAGTCCACAGAATAGTACCAAACTCACTCCTTGTCTCCCAATCCAACAATCTTGATTCTGATTTTCCTCCAGACCTGAGTGGGTACATCCCCCCGTCCCCTTTTCAGTTCCCTTTTATGTGTTGTTTCCCCTACCCTTAAGGTGCGGTAGAGAGATTGCTGGGGCTGGAGTCAGAAAAACTCATCTTCCTGAGTTCAAATCTGGCCTCAGACACTTACTAGCTATGTGACCCTGGGTAAGTCACTTAACCCCTGTTTGCCTCAGTTTCCTCAGCTATAAAATGAGCTGGAGAAGGAAATGGCAAACCACTCCAGTATCTTTGCCAAGAAAACCCCAAATGGGGTCACAAAGAATCAGATGTGACTGAAAACAACCAAACAACAACAACCCCACTCCTCCACCCCCGCCCAACTGTAAGCTCTTTGAAAATAGGGACTGCTTTTCTTTTGGCTTGTATTTTACTACACAGTGCCTGCCAGAGTAAGCACTTAATAAATGCTTGCTGACTTTACTTAGCCATGTAGCTTCCACCTGAAAACCTCTAGTGACAGAGAACTCACTCCTTGAAGAGGCAGCCAAACCCCTTCTGAACCAATTTAATGCATAGGAAGATTTTCTTTACATTAAGTTGAAATCTAGCTCTCTATAATTTCCAGTCACTTATACCAATTTTGTCCTCTGGGGCAAAGCAGAATGAGTCTAATCTGCTTCCAAATGACAACACATCCAAATACACAAAGATACCAACAGTGTTTCCCCTAAGATCTTCTTCTCCAGGTTATACATAAAGTTCCAACAAAGAATATTGGCCTTGGAGTAAGAGGATCTGCTATTTACTACTACTACTAGTAGTAAGTTATTACTTACTATTACAACCTTACTAAATGAGTTGCGCCAAGCAAGTTTTCTCTGCCTCAGAAGAAAGGGAAATCAGGAGAATGAGGGGGCTGAATTTGATGATGTCTGAAGTCTCTTCTAACTCTGAATCTTATGATCCCAGGAGCCTCATACAACATGGTTTCAAGCCAAGAATAATATCTCATATTCACATGGTAACTTGTATATCTTAAAGTATTTTATACAAACATTATCTCATATGAGCTTTCATATAACCCTGGGAAGTTCACCAGGGAGGTATAATTTTGCCCATTTGATAGATGAAAAACTGAAAGATAACTATGACATTCTGAGTCTCAAGCTTGAAATGTATAACTATCAGGCAAGAAGAATTTACACAGGTGTAAATCAGAAAGCAAAGGATGGAAGTATGGCAGACAGCATTTGGGTGAGAACTGTATGAGAGACAAACAGAAATGACATTGTTGTAGGAATGGATATATTAGAGATTACCTGGCCAGATGACAACTACAGAAGATACTTCATTAGTAAGTACTTACATAAATCCTTTTATTAATGATACCTGCTTTGAGGCAGTCAGAGATTAAGTGACTGCCCTTGTCAAACAACTAGTAATTATCTAAGGCTGGATTTGAACTCAGGCCGTCCTGACTCCAAACACAGTATTCTATTTACTGCATCCAGAACCTTAAGGAAAAAAATGACTATCTCAACCTAGGATTCAGGACAGCCAACAAAGTAATTTGGGGGCACAGGAAGGCATATTCATTTCAGTTCTAGAGTGGTTCAAAAACAGGAAGCACTCAAAAACAAATTTCAGCAATCCAACCATAAGTAACCCAGATAAGGAATAAAAAGGGAAGATATCTAGAGAAGCCTGTATGTTGAGACTGCAGAAAGCACTCTCTCTAGTGAGCCGAAATCTTAAAGGCATATGTAAAAAAGGTAGGTACAGGGACACGAAAAGAAGGATAAATGCAAAAGAACGTCAGACATCCACCAAAGAATAAATCCCAGAATAAATGGAGCTTGGGGGTTGCAGCAGAGGAAATAAGCTAAGTGCGTTTTTAAAAAAAAAAAAGATACGTTCACTAGGAAAAGAACAAGGAAGGACTAGAATGACTACATGGGGCAGATGGTGTAACATTAACTGATGACAAGAGAAAAAGCAGAACTACTGAACTATTTTTGTTTCTGTCTTTTTCTATTGAAGAGAATGATCTTAAAACAGGGAAGGGCAAAACTACACACATCCCAACACCTACCCCCCACTCACCCCCGCTGTTTAAAGACAATTGAAACCAAAACATGAAGGAGGAGGTAAATATGACAGGAAAGAGGGGGAAGTGGGGAGGGAGGGAGGGAGAGAGAAAGGGAGAGGGGGAGGAGGGGAGAGAGAGAGAGAAAGAGAGAGAAAGGAAAGAGAGAGAGAGACAGAGAGAGAGTGAGAGAGAGAGAGAGAGAGAGAGAGAGAGAGAGGGAGAGACAGACAGAAAGAGAACAAACCCTAGCTGTTTTAAATAATTGTAACTTTCTAAGCCCAAGTCTCAGGGGAATGAAATAACTTGCTGATGGGACGTGATTGCTCAAAACTGTCAAGGAATTAAGAACAGTACTTTCAGAAAATGGCACACAGACATATGCTAAACCTTTCAAAAAGGGAAGAAAAGTGGATTCCAGAAATTGTAAACCAATGAGCTTCAGTTCAATACCCAAGGAAATCTTTGAACATAATCATAAAATAGGTGGTTTGTGAGTAATTAAAAAAGCAAAAAAGGGATCATTTGAAGCTGGTGGTTCCTGAATAAGTCACAGGAAACTAACTTCATTGGTTTTTCTAAAAGCGTTACCAGACTAGAAATGCTATGGTACTAAAAAGAGTACCTAGGATTAAAGGATACATTTGGTAAAGGACTGTGATATGCTTTTAGAAAAAAAAAATACAGATAGATAGATGGATGGATAGAGATAGAGATATAGGTATATCAGTTTTTTTGGATTCTAAGCATGTCTCTTTGGCTTGGCCAAGAGTTGGGCAAAATCTGCAAAGGTTAGAGAAGAGAGGGAAAGGGAAAGGGAGCAAGAAGGAAAGAAAGAAGGAAGGAAGAAAAGGGAAGAGAAGAAAGGAAGGAAAGAAGGAAGGAAGAAGGAAGAAACAAAGAAAGAAAGCAGAAGCACATCTGGGTTCAAGGACTCTGAAGAAATAATTTTATGCTTGCACTAAACAAATGGGCTTTTTAAAAAGCCTGAAATATTAGTATTCAATAACTGGACCGCCCAAAGGAATCTTGCAGGATTGCCTGCCTATGCTCCTACCCTTCCCTATCAGCACCAAAGCCAGAATCTTTTGTACCCTCTCTCATACAACGTAACTGATAGCAGCACTTTTCAAATTCTCCCTTTGCACTAGTGACCTCATTCCCTTTTGAGGACACAGGACCAAGGCTACTACTCTTGTACATGAGTTGTGGTTGTTGTCATTTTTTAAATAAATAAACAAACAAGTTTTGCTTACGGTTCAATATCCAATGCCTGTTCCCCAAGGCCTGGTGTGAGTGCTGAGTTACCACCATCGATGCTGTCTGAAATATAAGACAGAGGTCATTAAGGAAGGGGATAAGGAAACAGGAAGGTCCATCTACCTCCCTGGACAAGAAATTCAAACAGCATTTCCATTATTTCATCAGCCTTGAATATTTCCCCCATCTATGGACAAAGTGGAGAAGCAAGCAGGTCACTCACAGGCCTAGGAGTAAGTAAGACTGTGTCTCAAGTCCTGCTATTCATACATGCTGGCTTGGTGACCCTGGGCAAGTCACTTAACCTCTTGGTGGCCCAGGCAGCTAAGTCAGTAAATTACAGAAGAGTTGCAGAGCTATAACAGTGGGAGGTATCCCCATATTGAAGGAACAAATAAATAAGAATAATAAATAAATAAATACAAAATCACCACCATCAGGGAAGGTATCCTCCCTTGCTACAGCCAGCCAGCCCATCTCTGCTGTATCATTTAAGTATCTCATGAATCTGTAGGAAATTTGCCTGAACTCCAGCTTTCCTGACCACAAGATTCTCATGGTTCCACTTTAAATACCACTGTGGGATGTACTTACCCAGTTGCTGCATACAATAATTAATCCTGCTGGAGGATTCATTCTACTGTCACATCTGCATGATTTTTTCAGGTCACTATGCCTTTATTTAAGGCTAAACGCCCCTAGATGTAGGGCCACATGTATGAAACTCTTCATAGGGCACCCAGCACCAATAGAGAGGGGCAATATCAAGGACTCTGATAACAACCCAGACATCACGAGGAATTCAAAGCTGTAACTTACTTGAACGGCAGAGGAGCACTCTGGGTGTGGGTGTCAAGGGAGTGAGTGGCAGCTGCGGGTGGGGGCCACCATGGGAGGAGGTGCTCATGACATTACTGAAGAGGCCAGAACCCTGCCGGACAGGGCTCAGCATAGGTGGGGGTGTGTAGGGAGGCAGCTCGTGAGCGGGGTCCAGGAGGTGGTCCCCTAGGATGCGGGGGGATCGCAGCTGGCTCTGATACAAGGTGGCCGCTGAGTAAGAGGAGGTGTTCAGGTTAAAGGAGGGAGGGGGGATGAAGAGTGGTTCTGGACGGTGGCGATATTTCTTCTTGTCCTGGGTGGGCTTAAAGTGTTCTTCAGCTCTGGCCATGCCTGGCTGATGCTTTCTGGGTATTTCCTAAAAGGCAAGGTGAGTTCATTTCAAATATTTATTACTTGGATGAATTCTCCAGGTCATGCACATCACTTCCACTGGTATGAAGGGAACATGTCATCTCCTTTTTGCCACCCCCTCCTTCCACTCATGCTCCACAATACCCCATTCACCACTCCCATGGGTTAGAAAGCTGAACCCCAAGAATAAGCCCTTTTGGCCTGGACAAAGAAGAGATACAAGGTTTGGGTAAAATATGAAAATTTAGGAAAGAGAGAGAGAAAGCTAGAGAAGAGGGGGATGGGGGTGGCAGGAGCAGGGGTTGAGGGAAGGATTATAAATTCAGATTCTTTGGTTCTTATCACTACATTCCCATCTGCTGAGTGGAATCCAGCTGCAAAGTCTCCTGGAATTCTCCATCAATTTCCCAGAGGACAAACATAAAGACAGATCAAATGAATGCACCCAAAGTAGAATGTGTGGGGTGTGTGTGTGTGTGTGTGTGTAAGAGGAATGGGGAGGGAGAGACAATGAGAGACAAAGACCCTACCTCACCAAAGCTGTTTCCTTCTTTGGTACCTTCCTGGCCTCCCTACTACTCAAAGTGAAATGCTTAGGTGTAACTATCTAACAACGGTCTCTGCAACCCCTTGCTACACCCATCACTTCTACTTGGTGACTCAACAATCAATCAGTCTGCATTTATTAAACACCCACTAAGTGCCAGACCTGGTGCTAGGTAGTGGGGATACCGGTTCAAAGAAGACCAAAATAACAACCCTTGCTCCGGAGAAACATCTGGGGCCAATTCTTACAAATAAGCAGGCTTCCTTTAGGCAGTTCTAGTTTTGTTTCCTATCACCCTGAGGCCAAGTATAATAAGGAAAGGGAATATGCTACGCAGAGAGACAGACAGATATAGAGATATGTACTATGTAAATGCATGGCATGCCCAAAGAAAACAGAAATGGCTTTTTCATTATCTATGGAGCAGGAAAAAATCTTGAGGCCACTCACTCCATTTAGAAAGGCCTGCAAGGGCAGCAGTAAAGAGACTCCTAGGTCATCTGCATACACATCTCCTCAGGGAATCTCTTTCCAGGCTATTCTTTTTTTTTTTTTAAAGGCAATTGGGATTAAGTAACTTGCCCAGAGTTATACAACTATAAGTATCTGAAGCCATCTTTGAACGCAGGTCCTCCTGACTCCAAGGGCCAGAGTTCTATCACTGAGCCACCTAACTGACCCCTTTCCAGGCCAGCCTTGAATCAAAGCCCATATGGTCATTGTTGAAGGTCTTCATTACCAAGTTAGGGCAGGCAGTATGAGACAATAGAAAGATCACTGGTCTGGAAATCCTCTTACTGACTTGTACAAGTTTAGGCCCTAGGTCCCTTCTCTTGACTCAGTCTCCTTTCAGTAAAAAGTCATTGGACTAGATACACTCTGAGGTCCCTTCCAGGTTGGATACACAGTGGTTGAAGAGTTTATTTCATTTCTGTTTGTTCTCTGATCGCTGCTCTTTAGCCCCAGCAAGGGAATGACCCGAGGAGGAGATGCAAGGCCTCTTTCCCCAATGTAGAGAACACAATTCTAATGGTTAAAGAAATGGCACTGAACGTTAGTTTTAAGAGCATCCTTTCTTACACTCTTCAGCCTCCACCCTGCCATGATTTTTCTCTCCCCAGTTCAAGGTCACGTGGGACAGAAGGGAAGGAGAAACACAGCTCTCTTTACTTCCAAGCTTCATCTCTGACTTCTTTTGTATCCTGCCTGTTCCTCCCAGCTTTTCCCAAATCCCTGCCTTTCTTCCAACCTGGAGGGAGGGTGGTGTAGTGTAGTAGAAAGAGAGACATGGGAGTCAGAAGATCTGGGTTCAATTCCAAGCTTTTCTTCTTCCAAGCTATATGAGCTTGAGAAAGTCCTGCTTTCTGAGCTGCCATTAAAATATGTGATCTCTGAGATTCCTTGGAAAAATCAGTTCTGAGAATCTCTGAGTATGCCCAACACCAGATTTCTACATCTTTGCCCCTAGATGCAATGCCTTCCTCCCTTCTCTGTTCTCCCTTCACTTGCATTCCTGTAAGATCTCAGGCTTGTTTGGTTATTTGGTCACTTCTGACTCTTTGTGACCCCATATGGGAGTTTCTTGGCAAGGATACTGGAGTTATTTGCCATTTCCTTCTCCAGTGGACTAAGGCAAACAGAGGTTAAGTGACTTGCCCAGGGTCACAGTAGTTAGTGAGGGTCTGAGGCCAAATCTGAACCCGGGTCTTTCTGACTCCAGGCCCAGCACTCTATCTGAGCCACCTAGTTGCCTCTAAGATCTCGGGCTAGGTCTGGGCTAAAGCAATCCAGGAGGGGAAGGAAGAGGGAGACATCTGGTCTCTCTCTTGGGTAGGGCCTACACTCTATCCACATAATATTCAATGGCCATTTTGACCTCAAGGCCATTAGGATAGTAAATGGTTATCTCTCCTTGTCTTTATCTTGAATATAGGGAATACTAAATTCAGAGTGATTGTATCTGCCTGTGCCCTCAAATTAGCTATGCAGAGTACAGAATGCAAACTCATTACCACCGTACAGGGACCATCTTCCTCATCCCCCAAACACTCCACCCCCAATTTCCTGCATTCCTTCAGCAGCACCCTAGAGGACAGGGCTGCCCAGACTTCACCCTCTCCCCTCTAAGGGAACTCCCAAGTCTGCTACACAGAAGGCAGCAGTGAGAGCCAGTGGGAGAAGAAACATAGAGTGGAGGAAAATGAAGGAAGGAAAACCCCTGGAGGGAACAAATTCTAAAAGTTTGAATTTTATTCTTATGTATATTTTTAGTCATTCTGTGCCTGTGCATACATAACAGAGACAAATCCCATGTGAATATACCCATGGTTACCCTCTTGCCTTAGATCCAAACTCTGGTTCATAGGCTTATGTTATAGTCCCGCCCTCTAACTGGTCCCTCTCATCTCCCTCCCTCCCTCCTCCAAGCCCAGCACTGATTCTGTACTCCAGCCAAGAAAGGCTGCTTTCCTATTTGTCACTGAAAAAGTACAGAATGCTAGATTTAGAATGGGGGAGCTATGGTCCTCCACCCACAGAAAGATCACAGCTGATGGAGTAGGTCATCCCTATCCTAGAATCATGGAACAAGAGAGCTGGAAGGGTTCTTGGGGGGAGTGGTGTCATATAATCACTGTGTCATTAAAATTTAGGGCTGAAAAGAGCCTGAGACCTCATATAGTACCACTCCTTCATTTTATAGAATATTGACTCATAGAATCATGGATTTAGAAATGGAAGGGACTTTGGGGACCATGTGATCCTAACTTGCATTTTGCGATTGAGTCAACTGAAGCCAAGAGAGAAGTGACTTCTTCAACATAACCCACCCAGGACATGAACTCGGGGTTCTATGCTTCTGGCGCTGGCCCTTTTCCCCCACACACAAGAAGCCGTCTCTCCTAACTTCTAAACTCCGCTAAAGTCACAGGACCATAGCAATAGAACTGGAATCTCAGAGACAATCTAATCCAAACTCTCCATTTTACAGATAAGGAAACTGAGGCCCAAGTAACTCATCCCAAGTTCACATAGGCAGGATTTGAAGCCAGGTGCTGACTCAAGAGTAAGTGCTAGCTCCACTGTACCATCATTCTTGTGGGCTCCAGGAAGTTTTTCTTTTTTTTTTTCTTTCTTTTTTTTTTTAGTAAGGCAATTGGGGTTAAGTGACTTGCCCAGAGTCACACAGCTAGGAAGTATTACATGTCTGAGGCCGGATCTGAACTAGGTCCTCCTGACTCCAGGGCCAGTGTTCTATCCACTGTGCTACCTAGCTGCCCCTCCAGGAAGTTTTTCTTGATTAACTCCATCTAGCTAAATTCATCCTTCTTACACACCTTTGCTTTCTCCCACCCCACAAGACTTAAGATTTTTCAACTTTCAATGGCTACTCTGCTTCACGATTCTCAGCCTTTCATGGCTTCTCTGCCTGTTCATTAGGCGTCTCTCTTATACTGGGAGCTCCCTGAAGGCATGGGTTAGAATCAGAAGATCTAGATTCTGGGACTGGCCTTGCTACATGCTTAATCTGTAAACTTGAGTCATACCATATTGCCACACCAAGTTCCTCCTTTACAAAATAAGGGGGACTGGACCAACTGATCTCTAAGGCCTCATCCAGTGCTAATATTCTGTGATAACTGAGCAGGCAGGCACAATTGATTCCACTGGAATGGAAAGTCCTTGAGGGGCAGAACTGAATCTTGAGAGAGGGAGGTTTCCAGAGGGAATACCAGACCTGGTGTCAGGAAGGAATGGATTTGAAGCCCATGTCAGACTTATTAGCCATATGTAATTCACTCAACTGCCCTGCACCCATGCTTCTTCATCTGGAAAAATGGAAATAATAATAGAATCCATACATATGAGATAATATACGTAAAGCTCTTGGTAAACTTTAAAGACCTCCATTGTTGTTCAGTTGTTTTTCACTTGTGTTTGACTTCATGACCCCATTTGGGGTTTTCTTAGCAAAGACGTTGGAATAGTTTGCCATTTCCTTCTCCAGCTCATTTTAGAGATGAGACAAACAAGGTTAAATGGCTTGATCAGGGTCACCCAGCTAGAAAATGTCTGAAGTCAATTTTGATTTCAGGAAGATGAGTCTTTCTGACTCCAGGCCTGGCATTCTAGCCACTGCACCGCCTAACTACCCAAAATGCTATATAAATGTTAGCTAATATTAACTATAAGTATCAATCCCCTAAGGCAAGAGCGCTTGGGAAGAGAAAGAGGGAGAGGGAGTGGGGTAGAGGCAAGAGTATAGGGTGCACCATCATATCAATAATAATAGCATTTATACAGTGCTTTAAGGTTGCAAAGCACTTTATAATATGTTATCTCATTTGATCTTTTTCTTCCTTGTCTGTCCTACTGGTTGAGTTAGTGGATGAAGACAGACACAAGGGTTACAGATCCATCTAAATATGAAGGTGGTTCATGGGGTGGCTCCCCATCCCCTCTAATACACGTGCATGAGAGAGTTAGGGATTCCTTTTATAGATGTCTCCCTGCAAACCATACTCCCCTTTCCCTGACAACCCACAGATCTCCCAGTATTCTAAATGAACACTTACTCTGACTGACGATCTCATCAGTCTGTATTTCTCTTATGCCTACAGACTTCAGTGAGCAAAAGGATTTTTCTGGGTCTCCTCACTGCCTTCTCTTATGACTCACTACCCCTGCCCAGACACAATCCTTATTCTCCTTAACAGCCATTCACTCTAGCAATCACTGCTAAGGACATCCTTAGCTATCCTGTTCAAATGAGGGATGTATGAAGAGGAGTGGGAGGTTAAGAGGTGTGTGATATAGGTAAGCTCTTGGGGCATCTTTAAGGTCAGATATGGGAGGGAGAAGCCTCTTCCCTCTGGAGCTAAGCTGCATGGCTGGAGCTGCCAACAGACAGACAGACAGACAGACAAGCACATGGATTATAGGAGAGAGAGAGAGATAGAGAGAGAAAGAGAGAAAAATTCACAAAAGCAGCAAGCAGAAAAACAAAGATCTTTGCTTTATGGAGATGTTCAATACATTGAAAATGTGGGTCTCCTAAGAGACAGATGGCCCTGCAGGTATTACCAGAGATGCCAGCAATCAGTCTGAGCTGTTGTTATTCAGTTAGATTTTTTTCCTCAGGTAGATTATTAAGTTCTGAGGACTATGACAGAGAAAGAAAACTAAGTGAAGGGCACAAGATTCTGACAATTTCTTTCTGCTCAGGAAAGGGGAGACAGAGCAGGTCCATGGTATTAGGTAACAATCCAGTGCACCTTCTTTGGAACAGCCGTCCCCTACTCTCCAAGAAAGCAAAGATATTTTCACCCTTGCAATCAGGGTGGGAGAAAGAGCAGCAACTCACAGAGGGTGCACAGGGGGCAGCCACTTTGGGTGAATTCGGGGGAGAGAGGGTCATCCTCACGAGAACGGGCATCTCGTCGTCCGATATTGAGCTGGCCGGCTTGTCTCTGGCAGCAGTGATGTTGTTGGTGATGACCTGTGGGCTGGGCTCAGGCGAGAGAAGCTTGACAGGGACAGACACGGGCATGACGATAGGAAGGGGGTTTTCCACCTCAGGAGGGAGCTGCGACTGGGGCGGCAGCGGCGGCGGAGGTGGCGGCGGCGGCGGCTGCTGCTGCTGCTGCTGCTGGGGTGGTGGAGGTGGCTGGAGCTGCAGAGCCTTCTCTCCTTCCTCCTACACAGACAATTAAAGCCTTTGATCCCTCGTCCCAGAATAGCCCTCACCAGGGAATACACTTCTCCGTCCTTTTCAAAGTTTCAGGATGTTGGCTTCTACAGGCCTTCCCTTTACTTCTCTGAGACTGAGTATACTAATCTATAAAACGAAAAGAGTAATCTTTGCTTCTACTACCACACAGGGAATTGGGAGGAGAGAATGAAATGACGGGAAGGAAAGTCAGAAGCACTCTGAAGTTATAGGTGCCCAGTAAAGGCAAAGAAAACCAGCAAGTGTTCTTTTAAATGATGTAGGCAAGAAATGGAGTGTGCTCCATCATTAAATATTTTGCTTAGAGAGCCAAAGAATGTATTATATTGAATATATATTATATGTGATATTACATAATATACACACACAGTATTATACACCATAACCTGTTTTAGTTAGAATCCAGACAAAATACACACAAGCTTTAAAACCTACAGGGGACTGAATAGAATCTAATTTGTTTTCAAACTACCAGAAAATTCTTCCAGACCTTGGAGCACCCCAGGGTCTTCATTACTGATATCCCTCATTCTTGTACTATAGATGTAGAAACACGCTGGTGAACAGAGATCTGGTTGAGAGAACCAGGCCTTAATCAGTTTTGATTGTACCATGATAATTTTTTTTAATGCCTCAGATGAATCTTGTTTTAAACTTCATTCAATTCGATAAACATTTTATTAAGTGCCTACTATGTGCCAGGAAGGACCATTTTATTAAGTGCCTACTATGTGCCGGGTATGGTACTAAGCGCTGGGGATACAAATAAGGAAAAGAAAGATGACTCCTGCCTTCAAGGGTTTTACAATCTAACAGTCAGACATGATGAGGGGCTCATACTCCTTTTTCTCTAGTCCTGGCCTATTATTACAGTAATATAAGTCACACTGCCAGTTCATTTGGGAGCCATATTTGCAAGGCCAATCAGTAGAAAGAGTGATAAACTCAAACCTCACCAATCCTAAGGTCTGACACCCAAAGGCTTTGGGGGTCTTTAGCTGACCCCCGAGGGTGAAGCTGAATTCTCAGAGAAACAACACTCAATTTGAAAGGCAGCCAAGCACAGTAAGCAGCTCACATCAGCCTGGAAGGGAGAATGCTAAAAGCGTGCTTTGCCATTTCTGACCCCTTCCCTCCCCTCCATCTGTCCTTACCTGCTTGAAGCTGGGGGAGGCTCGCATGCCCCCATGCGACCTCATATGGCCGTTCAGGGCAGGCAGACTCTTGAACTCCTTGAAGCAGATGGAACATGTCAATTTGTTCTTAGCATCGTGCTGTTCCCCAAATACCCCTGTGGGCTGAGCGCTGCCCAGAGAGCAGATGGAGAGAGGGTAAGGACAGAGAGAGAACACATAGGAACACTGTATAGGGAACATTGTATAGGGAAGGTAAGATAATGACTAACAGAAAAATACTTTGGCCCCTTTTAAGCTTCCAATCAGACTGCTTTATTTTATCCCTACCCGCTACCCTGCAAGTACTATCCCTATTTTACAGAAAGCAGACCTCCAGCACAGAAGGGTTCAGTCCTATTCACGTGGGAATTACAAAAACTCTGACACAGGTTGAAATGAAATATCACTACTAATCTCAGAGCTCTGCTGTTTAGGTTTTCCAACCTAGTCTTCAGGGAACAGCTCTTCCTGCTTCCTGATGAGGACTCTGGCCTATAGCTGAATCTCCCTTCTCTAATTCCTTTAGCACTTTTTACCTATAACATATATATTTTCTACTGTGCTAGGCTTTAATCTGTCTGTGCATGTCTCTTCTCCCATGGTAGACAGTAAGCTATTTCTAGGGAGAAATAATGTCTTCTTCTCCTTCTTTTGTATGCCTCACTGTAACTAGCATATTAAGAGGTGTTCAGTAAATGTTAGTTGATTCACGACTACCTAACTTTTAGAGTCAGGAAAATGTAGGTTTGAATCTTGCCTCAGATAACTTACTAGCTATGTGACGTCAGCCAAGACACTTAAATCTCTCTGACCCTTTTTAGTCATCTATAAAATGAGAATAGTGGGACATATTGCTTTAAGGATCAAATGAAATAATTGTTATAAGTCACGATGAACTATATGAAGAGGAGCTATTTTTATTATTATGATTGTACAGACCATGTTTCCTCTTCATCAAAAACGTCCTTATGAAGCTGACTGTCCCTGAAGAAACAGATCTGTGATGCCCTGGGCCTCTCCCCTACCCCTCTCCTGAAGTGTCTAATATGTTCCCAGGGTGGAATTCTGAGCATTCACCTTACCTTGGATCAGGAGACAGTGGCTGGGCTCGGCCATCAGAGAGGTGCATCTTGGTTTTGAAGAGAGCATAACAGAGAAAGAAGAGGAAAAAAGAGGATGAAGGGGGGAGGAATGAAAAGGAGAGACAGAGAGAGAGAGAGAGAATATGAACGTATGTTTATGAAAGAAAGGGAACCAGAGCACCAAGGAATCAGTGGCTTCCAGAGCACTGTTCCCAAACTAAGATTGCATCTCCCTTTTAGGATGTACATATTCGCCTGGTCTATACTCTCCCCCACCCCCTTCCCACAATTTCTAGGTTCAAACTTCCTAATTTGAATACCATTGCTCTTACCCTCAGGGCATTCTCTATGTAAAGATAAAACACTATTCACTAGGAGACTGATACCCCACATCTCTACCCAACTCCAAGCCCCAAACATCTTCCTACCTCTATTTAATTTAAGAAGCCAGGAAATATGACAATGAATTGATAAGCCTGCCACAAACTCTTTTGGGCCCAAAAATACAGAGAAGAATTTGAGGTGCAACAGATACAATGTTGGGTCTGGAGTCAGGGAAAATCCGAATTCAAATCTAGCCTCAGACAATCACTAGCAGAGTGACCCTGGATACTCAACCTCTGTCTGCCTCACTTTCCTCAAATGTAAACTGGGGATAATGGTAGCACTTACCTCCCAGGGTTGTTGTGAGAATCAAATGAGAAAATAATTGTAAAGTATTTTGCATACAGTAGGCACTATGCTGGCTATCATTAGTATTAAAAAGTATTTTTGTACAATGCCTGACATGTTATTGAGTCATTTTTCAGTCATGTCCAACTCTTCGTGACACCATTTGGGGTTTTCTTGGCAAAGATACTGGAGTAGTTTGTCATTTCCTTCTCCGGCTTATTTTACAGATGAGGAAAGTGAAGCAAACAGGGTTAAGTGACTTGCCCTGAGTCACACAGTTAATAAGTGTCTGAGGCCAGATTTGAACTCAGGAAGATAAGTCTTCCTGACTCCAAGCATAGCACTTTATACCCACTGTGTCACCTAGACCCATAGTAGGTGTTATAAAAATACTTATTCCCTTCCCCACTCCTAAACTCATCTTCTAACTAGACAAGGGCATGTTAGCTGCTGTTCAGTTTAAGCTCACAGAATCACGGAGAGCAGATTTAAAAGGGACCTTAAAGGTCTTAATGGATCAAATGAGATAATAATTGTAAAGTGCTTATGGCTCACAGTAAGCAATATATAAATGTTAGTTATTACCATTATTATCATCAAAGTGCTTAGCCCAGTGCCTGGCATATAGCAAGCACTATGTAAATGTTAGCTATCACCATTATCACAATATCCAGCCTCCTCACTTTACAGCTGTGGAAACTAGGAGAATTATGTGACTTGCCCAGGATCACCCAGCCAGTAAGTGTGAGAAGCAGGATTTGAACCTACACCTGCCTGACTCCAGGGCCAGCACTCTCTGTTCATATCCTTTGATGGTTTATCAACTGGAGAATGACTTAGATTCTTACAAATTTGACTTAGTTCTCTATATATTTTAGAAATGAGGCCTTTATCAATGACACTGGCTATAAAAATTCCTTCCCAGTTTTTTGCTTCCCTCCTAATCTTGATTGCACTGGTTTTGTTTGTGCAAAAACTTTTCAATTTAATGTAATCAAAATTATCCATTTTGCATTTCGTAATGTTCTCTATCTCCTGTTTGGTCATGAATTCTTCTGTTCTCCATAAAAATGATAGGTAAACTATTCCTTGCTCTCCCAGTCTGCTTATAGTATCAGCCTTTATATCTAAATCATGAACCCATTTTGACTTTATTTTGGTATATGGTGTGAGATTTTGGTCTATGCCTAGTTTCTGCCATACTCTTTTCCAGTTTTCCCCGTAGCTTTTGTCAAACAGTGAGTTCTTATCCCAGAAGTTAGGGTCTTTGGGTTTATCAAATAGTAGAATACTATAGTCACTGACTATTGTATCTTGCATACCTAACCTATTCCACTGATCCACAACTCTACTTCTTAACCAGTACCAAGCAGTTTCGATGATTGCTGCTTTATAATATAATTTAAGATCTGGAATGGCTAGGCCACCTTCCCCTGCATTTCTTTTCATTAGTTCCCCTGATATTCTGAACCTTTTGTTATTCCAAATGAATCTTGTTATTATTTTTTCTATCTCTATAAAATAATTTTTTGGCAGTTAGATTGGTATGGCACTGAATAAGTAAATTAGCTTAGGTAGAATTGTCATTTTTATTATATTAGCTTGGCCTAATGAGAAACTGATGTTTTTCCAATTATTTAGATTTGACTTTATTTGTGTGAAAAGTGTTTTGTAATTGTGTTCATAAAGTTCCTGGGTTTGTTTCAGGAGGTAGACTCCTAAATATTTTATAACGTCTACAGTAACTTTAAATGGAATTTCTCTATCTCTTGCTGTTGGGCTTTGTTGGTAATATATAGAAATGCCAGTGATTTATGTGGGTTTATTTTATAGCCTGCAACTTTGCTAAAGTTGTTTATTATTTCAAGTAGTTTTTTACTTGATTCTCTAGGATTTACTCTAAGTATATCATCATATCATCTGCAAAGAGTGATAGCCTTGTTTCTTCTTTGCCTATTCTAATACCTTCGATTTCTTTATCTTCTCTTATTGCTAAAGCTAACATTTCCAGTACCATATTGAACAACAGTGGTGATGATGGGCATCCTTGTTTCACCCCTGATCTTACTGGAAACGCTTCTAGCTTATCCCCATTATATATGATGCTTGCTGAAGGTTTTAGGTAGATGCTACTTAAGGAAGACTTCACTTATTCCTATGCTCTCTAGTGTAACAGGAATGGGTGCTGTATTGTGTCAAAAGCCTTTTCTGCATCTATTGAGATGATCATGTGGTTTCTGTTAGTTTTGTTGCTGATATGATCAATTATGCTGATAGTTTTCCTGCAGTACTGGTATAAATCCTACCTGGTCATAGTGTATTATTCTTGTGATAAGTTGCTGTAATCTATTTGCTAATATTTTATTTAAAGTTTTTAATCTGTGTTCATGAAGGAAATTGGTCTATAATTTTCTTTTTCTGTTTTGACTCTTCTCGTTTTAGGTATGAGCACCATATTTGTATCATAAAAAGAATTTGGTAAGTCTCCTTCTTCACCTATTTTCTCAAATAGTCTATATAATATTGGAATTAATTGTTCTTTAAATGTTTAATAGAATTTGCTTGTAAATCCATCTGGCAGGGCCAGCACTCTCCACACTACACTATGCTGCCTCTCTTGTGGTGAAGTGTCATGCTGAAGAAAAAAAAGCAAAGCAAAGAAAAAGAAAACCTACTCCCAGGGTCAGATGTGGATCTAGGACAAATTGCTCGGCAGCCTATCCCATATCTCTGGCAGCCTCCCACCTCTCCATCTGGTATTTCTCTCTCACTTCCTGATGCCCACCTCAACCTTACCTCCCTACCCCCAGAACCAGGGCCATAGGCTCCATAACCAGATAATATTGTTCTAAGTTCCACCTATAACAACAGGTCTACAATGATCTAATAAACTAATCTCTGATGACCCCACAAAGGGCTTGAGATAAGCCTTTCCAGCGGGATGTACACTGCCACAGGGACTCTCAGTAGTCAGAAAAACCTTCCTTTAATAGGATTCCAGGCATCAGGGATGGAGCTGTCATTCAATCTCCTGCTACTAGAACAGCTTGGCTGCTATTTTGTTTAAGACATCAGCTGTCCCACCTCCATTTTTTTTTTTTTTTACAACCCAAAGAAGGGGAAAGGAGCATTATCAGGCAGTGGGACTTTCTCAGACACATATCCTCTCTTCCCACCCAATGCCATAAAATCCGAGCCATTTATTAGTCAACTATTGTGCCTAAAATCACAGAAGGTGATCTTAGTGACTCTTGTCCAGTTCTCTCATTCTACAGAGGAACAAATGAGCTTTGCTAGAAGAAGCCGCTTTTGCCTAAAGTTGCTCAGTTAATAAGTGACAAGGCTCAGAAAGACTGTCTTTCAACTCTACTTGGGTCAAATCACCCTAGGCTGCCTTTACCTACAGGCAGCTCAAGCTGTTTATTCAAGCACACCTGTATTCACTTACAACTACTAAGCGGAGTTGGGACTTGTTAGCATTTAGATGGGAACCTGCCTTCGAATAGCAGGTGTGGTAGGCTTTAATTAGCAAGGGAGCATGAGTGGACTGTTGGCTTTGGAGTTAAGAAGACCTGAGGTCAAGCCCTGTCTTTGATGTGGACCTCAGTTTTCTCATCCACAAAAAAAGGGGATTAGACTAGATGGGTTCTAAGGTCCCTTCCAGCTTTAGAGCTTTTATCTTATGATTCTACATGCATAGTGGATAGACTGCTGGACTTGGAGTCAGGAACATCTATGTTCAAATCTCACTGCTACCATTTATTTAGTGGGTGACCCTGGTAGCCAGGTGGTATAGTGGAGAGAATACCACACCCAGAGTCAGGAAAACCTGAGTTCAAATCTAGCCTTAGACACTTATTAGCTGTGTGACCATGGGCAAGTCACGTAACCCTGTTTGCCTCAGTTTCTTCATCTGTAAAATGGGGATAATAATAGTATCTACCCATCTACCTCCCAGGGTTGTTGTGAGGACCAAATGGGATAATAACTGCAAAGTGCTTAGTGCAGCACCTAGCACATAGTAAGTACTCTATAAATAAGTTGTTGTTGTTGTTGTTATTTCTTCATCTGTAAATGAGGGGGGTTTGGAATAAACAATCTTTAAGACCCGTTTGTTGTTGTTCAATTGTTTCAGTCGTGTCTGACTCTTGGTGACCCCATTTGGAGTTTTCTTGGCAAAGATAATGGAGTCATTTGCCATTTCCTTCTCCAGCTCATTTTACAGATGAGGAAACTGAGGCAAACAGGTTAAGTAACCTGCCCAGAGTCACACTGCTAGTAAGTGTCTAAGGCCAGATCTGAATTCATGAAGATGACTCTTCCTGATTCTAAGCACTCTATCCACTGCGCCACCTAGACTAAGAACCCTTCCAGTTCTAATTGTGATCCTATAAATTGAACTGTACACCGACCACAAGCTGAGAAGCTACATACACATACACACACACACACACAAAAGTTCCACCTTGTCCCAACACACACCCTCTGCTTCCACCCCTACTCCCAATGCACACTCCCACCTGAGTAAGAGCTAAAGATTCATAAGGATACCTGGGACCACACAGAACCAGGAGACAGCTGCTGGTGCTGGGGTCCCTTGCTGTTGAGGTGAATCCCCACTTGTGGCAGGAGAGGCCGATGGGTCAGACTGTTGCCAACTGAGTTCATCTCCTCCATCCCTGGGTCGGAGAGCCCCAGTCCACCGTGGGAGCCCAGTATGGCCTGGGCTTGCCGGTCACTCTGGTAATTCTTCTGCTGTACATTTTCACGGTGCTGCTGCTGCTGCTGCTGCTGCTGCTGCTGCTGCTGCAAGAGACTCTGCTGGTAGAAGTGTCGGCTGTACTGTGGCTGAGGGTCCTGGTAGAAGTACTGCGGCACAGATCCCAACTGGATGAGCTGGACCGGGTGGGGAGCCTGCTCCTGAGTGTACTGATGGGGATCATGCACAGATTTGGGGCCAGCGTCCCTGTGATAGGAGGGGGGTTGCAGCTGCATTTGTTGTTGCTGCGGCTGCTGTGGCTGTTGTAACTGGGACATCACGGGCTGTGTTGGATAATAATGAGGTAACTGTATGGAGCAGGGTCGCTGGGGCACCGGGGGCAGCAGCTGCTGTGCCCTGCTCTGTTGCTGCTGCTGCTGCATATCTGGTATGGGCATGCGCTGCTGTCCTGACTGTGGCTGCTGCAGGTAGTAGTGGGCCTGCTGCATCTGCGGCATCGGCTGGGGCAGCATCTGCTGGCCCTGCATGGGCTGGCTGCCCTGGGCAGGCATCTGGGCCGTCTGCTGTTGGTAGTCATAGTACAGATGGGCTGGGGAGGGGTGCTGCCCGCCCTGCATAGCTGGCTTGGGTGGACCATTGGCAAAACCAGAGTGGGCCTGATGGGGCATCTGCTGGTAGCGGGGAGGTATGGCGGGAGGTGCTGCTACCGCCTGAGGTTCAGAGGGCTTCTGAGACAGTAACTGGCGGAGGGCGCTGTCACTGGTACCGTCCATCACCGATGACTGGTTATGTAGCACCTGGGCCATGTTGTTGACCTGGATCCTTAGGTTCTGGTTGGCAAACACCTGGGTGAAAGAGTCTAACTTGTGGAGGACTCCGCTGGTGATCTTCTGGGCCCGGATGTCGTTGGACTGAGGATAGGTGTACGGGTAGCCTTCAGCAGGTTCCACCTGAGCAGATGCCCCCCACATCACATTTGGGTTGGAGAGACTACCACGCAGCTGGATGTGGTTGTTTGGTCCAGCATGGCCTCCCCAACCCGTCTGCCTTGAGTTGTCCATCAAGCCAAGGTTCTTGGGACCAGTCACCAGGCCCATGCTGTCCCGAGAGTCCTGGGGGAAGTGGGGAGAGAGGGGAGAGGCCTGGGAAGCTTCCATGCCACCCCCTGTTGATGCAGTACCCCCATAACTGTGGTTGATCCCACTGCCCCCACTGAGAGCACTGTGCGGCGGCTGTTGGTAGTAAAGGTTCTCATTACCATGGATGCTATGATTAGCTTTGTACATCTGCTGATCCCCCATGGCTCCCTACTTGGTCCTAAATACAGAGGCACCAAAACCATTAAAAATAAAGGGGAGAGGGGAGAGAAGGGCAAGGAAAAAAGAATGAAACCCTGAGATAGGCTGAGAGTTGCCACTGGAGCTACTCAACAGCTGAGGAGTACATATACATGGCGGGAGCTGAGGGCTCCTTGTCAACCCGAGACACTAATGGCCAGTGCAGATGGCTTCACGTCTTCACGAGGGTCAGGGCACAGGCCAAAGGTCGAATGGTCAATGAGATGCAATTCACTCCTAGAAGAAAAAAAAGGAGAGGGGATGAAAATGCTAGTTTTCTCTTGGGCACAGGTGCTATTCCAGGCAAGCCAATAAAAAGCACAATGACCTGTTATAATGACTAAATACAAGTACATCCCATTTCTCCTATGTCTGATTCTGCAACTTACTGTGTGACTTTGGGCAGGTCACCTGACTTCTGGGGGCCTTACTTTCTCCTCCTGTAAAATGAGGGGCATGTTGGGCTAAGCTGATCTCTAAGGTTCCTTCCAGCTATAACATTCTATGACCCTCTAAGACACAGCATGGGATGGAAGAAAGAATACTGGCACTCTGTAGTCACAAGCCTTGGGGTCAAATCCTGCCTCTGACATGTAATGTCTAGGTGACCTTGGGCAAGTCACAAAATTTCCTCATCTCCCTCTTCTAGAAAATGAAAGGACTGGAGGAGCTGGACTCAGGATGCTGCGAGCTCTGCCTCTGATCCTTCCTATAAGAATCAAACACCTCTGTATTCTTATTTAGCAGGTCAGATCGCCTGGAATATGACTTGCCGATTCCTGTCACCAGTCTCAGTTCATTCATTCATTTATTGACTTTTTTGAGGGGAAGGAAGCAATTGGGGTTAAGTGACTTGCCCAGGATCACACATCTAGTTACAAGTGTAGGAGGCCAAATTTGATCTCAGGTCCTCTTGACTCCACGGCTAGTACTCTATCCACTCTGTCACCTTTGCTGCCCACTCCCATCCCTCCTATATGCTGCTGAGAAATTAAGTGGTGTTATGTAAAGATTTGACGACATGACTCCCCTACTCTGTCCTTTCTATTATACAGCCTTTAAGATAAAACGTAAACTCTTCAGTTTAACATCCTGGGCTTTGTCTAATTTTTCATACTAGCTGGACGTTGCTCTCTCTCTCTCTCTCTCTCCCCGCCTCTCTCATGCTGTGACATGGCTAACCCGGTCTTCTCTCTGTTCTTCCTACACAACCCTCCATGACTTTGCCCTAGCGACTCATTCCTGAAATGCACTTCTTCCTTGCCTCTGCCTCAGAGAGTCACTTCTTCCTTTAAGATGCAACTCAGACATTATTTTTCTACAGGAGGCCTTTCCTGATCCTCCAATTGCTAGTGCCCTCTTTCCCAAACTACCTTATAGTTAACGACTTTGTAAATAAACAAAATCTTCCTGATTTCAGGTCTGACATTGTGGACTGAATACATGAACCAATTATTAATTGGTTTCTGTTGAGAGGCATAGTAGATCAAGTTTTAGCCTCTGGATCTGGAAGACCTTAGTTCACATCCCACTGATACACACTGGCTGTGTAACCTTGTATTACTAACTTAATCTTTCAGTGATCCAGGCAACTCTCTAAAACCACAAATTGCAGAAAAAAGGCTAACCTTCATTGAAAGAGTGAATTCCCTCATCTGGGAAATTCATGTTTTCCTGACTCCAGGTCTGGTGCTCTATACTCTTATCCTCATGTGGAGATTTCACCCTGTATTAGTGACATCAGAGCTCCAGTTCCTATCTCTGTTTCTATGACACACTTACTTTGTTAATGCTCCTGAATTGTTGTAGAGGCACGATCATATCTTGTCTTCTTAACTAGACTACAAAATCTTGGGGGCAGGATCCATAGCTTTGACTTCTTTTGCATCCCCCTAAGCATAGTACTGCAACTCTAGACCTTGAGAGGCAAATGTTTTGCTCACTTGATCATTTCTTCTAACTCACTCTCATCAATTCAGGAGCTCAGTGTCATTTAGCAAGAGTCAAGGATTAACTGATGGATAGCCAGGGTGCTGCAGTATAAGTCGTGAAATGTAAAAAACCTACAGAATTCTGGGTAGATTCTCTATGGTAGGTCTATAGAAGAACATGGGCAAAGAAAGACACAGAATGGCAAGGTATGGTTAGGCTGGGATCTGCACTGATGGATGGAATGTCTGTCCTCAAAAGATCATAGACCCATTGCAATTTTCAAGCATTATGATCCCAGAGCTGTGCCAAATATTACAAACAAATTCTTCCATATAACAAGCTATCATGGCCCCAGAGGTCACCTGGTGCCTCATAATGTTCAACTCAACCTGCCCATCACATTTACCTTGCCTTCCCTGGCAACCCATCTGTCTCACAGTACTATGGATTCCTCTTATGCATTTATCCCATTCTATTATGTATCATGTTTTTCTCTTCACAAATCTTTGCTTGCTCATGGATTATCATGACCAAAGAACTCACTGCCTTTTGGTGAGTATCCTCTCTGTACTTAGTTGGGCAAGTACTGGGAAAGCAAGCACTGTCTGTGGCTGGGACTGTACCCAAAGCCTTTCCAATAGAAGAGAATCAGCCAGAGTGGCATTCCTCTAGTGTAGACTTTGTGGGTCACCTCAACTCCAGGGTCAAGTGTTGGGAGCAAACTCCACATATTACAAAGAATTATATAAAAGTGATGTAAAAAGCAACATAAAAGATGCCATCAGAAAAATGTCTGACCAGAAAAAAAAATAAGGGGCCGACCAAAGAGCAAAAGTTAAACAATAATTAATGGACATGGTCCATTGGTATCTGCACAGTGTTAGAGAAAATTTGAAGGATTCCAGAATATTTGGTGGACCTCTTTGGCAGAAATATGGGAATTAATGAATCCACATGCACTTATTAAGTACCTACTATGTGCCAGCCATTATACTAGGCTCTGAGGATAAAGACAAAATTGAAACAGGCCCTGCCCTCAGGGACCTTACAATCTAGCTGAGGAATACAAGATATATAAGAGATATATATATATAGAGATATAGATATATAGATATAGATATATATACACATATAAATACATATAAGAATATAAGATATATAAGAAATATAAGTATGAAAGAAAAACATAGACAAGAGATGTCCAGGATAGGCAGGAAGAGATCAGTTATAATCTTCATTGTTAAAGGAAGTGCCCATCTGGATGAGATCACAGGTCCACTGCATTTCTCCCTCATTATACCATACGGTACTAGAAGGCAGAAACCATGTGTATTTATCTGTGTATCTGACCCCCTAGTAAAGTTTGTAGCACACAGTAAAAGTTTAGCAAATGTTTGCTGAATGAATGTTCTCCCATGTTGGCAAGGGAATTAAGAAACCAAGGAGGAAGCCTGAAAGAGAGGGGCCTGGTTTTAAAAAAGCCAGAGAGGAAGTTCCTTTTGGCCTGTGCTACTGCAGGATTTGTTTGCTTACAATTCAGAAGGGGTTACACCCATCTCCCACCAGACCACCCCAACTTATTCAAAAGAGAAAAAAACAAAAATTTTTTCCATTTCCTCTACCAACCTAAAAATATGTAGACACAGAGACAGAGATTTCTAACATGATTATGGTTATCTAGCCAAAAAGCTCTGCTCTTGGGACTATTGGAAAAGTCTTTTTCAAATTGCTCAAGTATCCCCTTATTCTCCTCCCCATCCAAGGGGCGGGGGGGGGGGAAGAGATTGAACTAAGTGAGTTTTCCCAGAATGTCGGCACATGTTCCACAGCCTCCATTAGTAACGCTGCTCTGGCTCTTGATTGGTCTTCTAATAAAGTCTTCGATGGATATTTTATAATCCTGTAATCTGATTAACATGAACATGTGCTGCCAATAAAAATGATTAGACACACCAGTCTTGGCCAAGTCTCAGCCAAAGCAATCTCCCTTCTCTCTTCTTCCTCTTTGGATTCATCTCACCCCTTAAGGAGCCATCACAGCTTCAGAGATGAGGCTAAAAAGGTTTTTGATGGGGCTTTGGTGATGGCTCTCCCAGATGTGAACTGGTTTTCAGGGCTACATTCTGGCAACCATCTGCATTTTCCTTTCCTTCCGGAGGTTGGCAAATCCCATCTCACCATCTGCTAACAATAGTTTCCTTTCAAGTTGGCAGCCCCCTCTAGTGTACTCAACAATCAGAATTTGGGGACCCTCATACCATGAGGGAGCTGGATCCCACTTTTCCATTGAGAGGCCAAGCTTCATGCTATACTCGAAGTGAGCAGCATGACCCCCTAGGCCCATCAGTTCAGCACTATTTCCCCCTAGAAGTTAACCTTATAAAGGAGAAAGTTTTATGATTATAAACAGTAGAGAAGAAAATTGACATCATGAGAAACACTTCAGTCCATTTCAACATGTAAATAATGGTCTGCCTAATTCTAAGATGATGCTACAAACACACACACACACATATACACACACACACACACACACACACACACACACACACACACACCCTCTTCCCCAACCAAAGACTGGGTTTGGAATTACAGCAACAGCAAAACTCACTTTCCATAACAGGGTTGGATTAACTGGCTTATTTGTAGTTAACTGGACCTGAAGTATCTTCCTCTTAAAATAAGACACTGGTTTTCTATGACCTACACTAAGTAATCTCCCTTGGAAATTTGCTAGCCTCTCAGATTAAAATCTGTTCTGATTTGGTTTGGGGGTCTCAGAAAGGTCTGTGCTAGGGACCAAATCTGGCCAGGCCAAACCTTGCCTTTTTGAGCTGTAGTAACTCTGTAGAAAAATATCTGTGGAAGCTACTATTTGGGATTCCTTTGGCCCTGGGGCATCACAGTACAATGGAAAGGACGCTGCATTTGTAGGCCAAAGGTTCTGGGTTTTAACTATTCCAAATCTACTATTCACTAAGAGGCATCTAGGTGGCACAGTGGATAGAGTTCCAGGCCTGGAATCAGGAAGACCCAAGTTCAAATTTAACCTCAGATACCCACTAGCTGGGGACCCTAGGCAAGTCACTTCACTCTGTTTGCCTCAGTTTCCTCATCTATAAAATGAGCTGAAGAAGGAAATAGCAAACCACTCCAGTATCTTTGCCAAGAAAACCCCAAATGGAGTCATGAAGAGTCAGACACGACTGAACAACAACAAAAACTATTCACGATTTATGGAATCTTGGACAAAGCCCTTAACCTCTCTGGGTCCCACTTTCCTCCTCTGTAAAATGGAGATGACC